AAATAATAGCAAAATATATGGGTTTTAAAAAAACTGATTTTAGAGAGGAAGAGAGAGGGAGAGAAACATCCATGATGAGAGAGAATCATGGACCGGCTGCGGCCCCCACTGGGGATAGAGCCTGCAACCCGGGCACGTGCCCCGACCCCGTGACCTCCTGGTTCAGAGGTCAAGGTTCACCCACTGAGCCAAGCATGTTGGGCCATGCTCGCCACTTCGGTGTGTGTTTGAAAACATCCATGATATAAAGGAGCGGGGCCGCCAGGGGCTGGGAGCCCTTGAGCCCAGCCAGACCCTCTGCTATGGTGTCGGGGTCCTCACTCCGCATCCCCATCCGCCACGTGCTTGCGGGGACCAAGGGGGGGCCGAGCGGGGAAGCCTGACCCCGCCCCGGCAGCACCCTCCTGTGCGCAGCTGAGCCAACCCAGCATCCCGCGAGATTGTGGGCCTTTACCCCGAGTTCGAACCCAGCATCCCGCGAGATTCTGGGCCCGCTGCCCCCGCGTTGGAACCCAGCATCCCGCGAGATTGTGGGCCTTCATCCCGCGCGTTGGAACCCAGCATCCCGCGAGATTATGGGCCTTCATCCCGCGCGTTGGAACCCAGCATCCCGCGAGATTGTGGGCCTTCATCCCGCGCGTTGGAACCCAGCATCCCGCGAGATTATGGGCCTTTACCCTCCGATCGAACCCAACATCCTGCGAGACTGGGAGCACGGGAAAGGACAGTCTGTGGCGAGACGGAGCTGTGAGTTTGGGGGGGGCGCCTGGTGAGAAGAGGGGGGCTTGGGCATAGGGTGCCCTGGTCTCGTTGCATGTGTGTCAAGTGTCCACGGCTTCGGTGTTAGGCCAGGTGGGGGCGGCCGGAAGCAAGGGGGGCCCTGGCCCCGAGTCCTAGGCCAGGGCGGCGCAGTGGGCAGTGGCCATGGGAATCGGCTGGGTTAGAGAAGGGAGGTGGTTTCCAGGTGCCTGTCTGTGATCCGAGCCGGGCATCGCAGCAACTCGGGCGGGCTCTCTTCACATGGAGACCCCCAGGCCCAGCCTTGGAGACATGGGATCGGGGGTCAGGGGTCAGGGGTGGGGCCCAGGAAGCTGTGTTTCACAAGCTTCCCGCCGGGGACCCCACGTTGGCCCTGCAAGCTTCTGGGACCTGCTGTACCTGCAGGCGGGGAGCGGAGGGGGGGGACCTGGGAGCCAGAGGCCGGCTTAGTAGGTGGGGAGACAACGAAAGGGCTTGAGGCGGCTCTCGTCAGTGTTGCTCAGTGGATAGAGCATCCGCCTGGGGACGGCAGGGTCCTGGGTTTGATTTCCGGTCAAGGGCACATGCCCCGGGGCTGTGGGCTCGATCCCCAGTAGGGGGCGTGCAGGAGGCAGCCGACCAGTGATTCTCATCATCATGGATGTTTCTCTCTCCCCTTCCCTTCTTCTCTCCAAAATTAAAAAAAAAAAATATATATATTTGGAGAAGAAACCAAGATGGTGGCATAGGTAAACACCAGAAATTGCTGCCTCGCACACACACTTCAAAAATACAACTAAACGGGGGAGCAGCTGGTCGCTATGATGCGCACTGACCACGAAGGGGCAGATGCTCAAGGCAGAAGCTGACCCCAGCCTGCAGGCTCCAGGCCGGCCAAGGCAGATGCCGGGAGGGGCTCCCCTATGGCCCCACCGGTCGCCCCACAGATCGGCCCTGATTGCCAGCCAGGCCTAAGGACCCTACCTGTGCATTGAATTTCGTGCACCAGGTGCCTAATATATTTTTATACATATATATGAAAGGCTAAGTGACCGACTGACCGTCCGTCCAACCGTCCCACCGACCGACCGATACATCTGAGGGTCACTGGCAATTTAAAAATAAACGTTGGCTCGCTCATGCGCCATCCCACAGAAAGCTCTCGCAGGCGCCAATCACATTATAGAGAAAGGGCAAATAGTGACGTTAAAATATTTCTTCTAATTAAGTTCCTTTCAATGTGCACGCATCCGTGCACCGGACCGCTCGTCTATATCTATATGTATAAAAGCCTAAGGGACCGAGGGCCACACTGACCACAAGGAAGCAGACGCTCAATGCAGGAGCTGCCCCCTGCTGGTCATCGCGCTCCCACAGCCACCCTCCCACGGTCCCTCCCCGCTGGCCAGCCGGCCGGATTGGGACTGGGAGAGATGGCCCCCATTGGCCCCCATCACCAGCCAGGCCGAGGGACCCCACCTTGAGATTGAATTCATGCACTGGGCCCCTTGTATAAAAAGAGAGGGCTTGAGGCCAGGACATCCTGTGAGGCTGGAGGGTGCCGGGTGCCCAGATCGCTCTGGTGGCCGGAATGGAGGGCGAATTGAAGGATGTCGAGGTCGGATGCCTGGAGACCAAGGAAGTGTATACTGCAGAGGCCCAGGCAGAAGATAAACAGGGCTGGCCCGGCCGGCGTGGCTCCGTGGCTGAGCATCGACCTAGAAACCAGGAGGTCAGGGTTCGATTCCCCATCAGGACACAGGCCCAGGTTGTGGGCTCCATCCCCAGTGGGGGGCGTGCAGGAGGCAGCCGATCCGTGATTCTCTCTCATCATGGATGTTTCTCTCTCTCGCTCTCCCTGCCTCTCTGAAATCAATAATATATATATTTAAGTGTATTTTATTGATTTTTTACAGAGGAAGAGACAAGGATAGAGAGTCAGAAACATCGATGAGAGAGAGACATCGATCAGCTGCCTCCTGCACACCCCCCCACTGGGGATGTGCCCGCAACCCAGGTACATGCCCTTGACCGGAATCGAACCCGGGACCCTTCAGTCCGCAGGCCGACGCTCTATCCACTGAGCCACACCGGCCAGGGCGATAAATATTTTTTAAAACGACTCCTGGCACATCAGATCCCTGAGTGGGTTCCCTGACTCGCTGGGTGTTTCTGGAAGGAGCGCTCCGGGTGCACCAGGTCAAGTGTGGGCGCCGTGTCAGTGCTATGAACGGGGGCGGGGAGGGCACCTCACTTCTGGAGTGTCGGACCTTCCCGGAGAAGGTGACCCTGAGCTCACGTGGGCTCTGCAGGTGGCTGGGCTCTCGACAGGCAGAGAAAGGGGCAAGGCCTCCTGGACAGGAGCCAGCAGAGCCCCTGGGGCACCTCTCTGCAAAGGGCTCCCCCCAATCCCCTGGCATCAGTTGGTCCACGTTAGCATCAGGGGAGCCCAGAGCCCAGGCCAGTGTCGGGGTGTCCGCAGGCTGCAGTTGCAGCCAATTCCTGGTGCCTCGTCCCCCCCGCCCCCCTCGGGTGTGGATTTCATACGGGGGAGCGGGGCCGGGGCCCTCTCTCCAAGGCCCCTTTGTTCTCCGCAGGCAGCTCCTGCCTTGGCGTCCCAGACCCCTCGTAGCCGCTCCTCCGGGGCCACCAACCTGCTCCCCCGTTGTCCCCCCATTCCCATCGTCTGGACATTTCTGCCGAGGTTTGCTGCTTCCGCCTGGAGGCTCGCCAGGGCCCCAGCCTCCCAGGGCCTCTGGCCTGGCCCCGTGCCCTCGGGCAGGCTGAATTCAGGCTGGAAGAATGGGGGTCAGAGTTCAGGCCCCAAAGCCGGGGACGCTGAAGAGGGGCCCAGGAGGGGGTCTCCCGGGCACAGTCATGGGGGCTGGGGCCGCTGCGCGGGGACTCTGGGAGTCAGCAGAGCAGGACAAAGAAGTGC